GGGGCGGGCCGGGGCGGCGCGGGGCGGACCGGGGTGGGGCTGGGCGGTGCTGAACGAGGCCGAATACCAGACGCGCGCCGTTTGGGTTGACAGTCCAACGACAGTCGACTGGGCGCCTTTGGTTTCTGCCTTCAGCCCTTCGCCCGAGGAATCACTATGGCGTCTGTTGCGGGCCCCGGTCCTTCCGCTGTACGTTGTTCTTGTTGATTCAGGTTTGTTGGCATGAAGTAGCCAAACCACTTTGTGGCTCTTACTTCACATTCCTCTTCTCCTCAAACATACCAATATGACGCGTTTTGTAGTTCTCTGTAATTGCAAGAATTTTCCTCACAAATAGTTAATTCGGAAGGTGGTAATGAATGGAATTCATATTTTTTTGTGTTCCTTACATCTCTTAGATGTATATCTTGGCATGTTGAAACTATTGTTAATAAACAAACTCAATATTTATGTCATACGTTTTTGGCGAAATATGTACAATAATTAATTCATCATATCACCTGTTGTCAATAAAGAACAACATTTTAAAAATATTTCTACTTGTGCTACGAGATATCTTTGTACTTCCTCCAGAGGATATCAATTTTATAAGCTTTCTTAACTTTTATAAACTTCACTCTTCTCAACAAATTAATAATAAAATAGCTCTCGTTATTTGATTTAGTTGTATTAAAGGTATAATGTCTTATTCCAACTTTTTTATTTAGTAAAAATACTAATTACGTGGAAAATGTAACGTAATAAGATTTGTCAAAACTCCATTGATTAAAAACTCATTTTCAAATGTAAGGCAAATATTGTGGCTTATTTCGGCATGCACAGAGGCTCAGAAAAATTACTATTTAATGCACTTCTATTTAATGCATTACTATTTAATAAATCTTCGGCATTACTATTTAATGCACGTACTAAGGATATTAAAGTACTCGCTGTAGAGATAAATCGTAGTATTAAATATTGATTTTGATCACGTTATTCTCAATATACAAAAAATGAATAAGCCTAAACAACATTTTAATGGTGATTTTTAATTTACTATGAGCTCATCAGGGCTTTAAAAGTTCGTTTATTATTCTTTTCTTAGTACTCTATTAAAGCTCCTTGAATTTAAAATTTACATTCTCATCCTTCAGTATTATATTACACATTCTAATTTACCTGGAAATCGTATAACTTTTTTAATTTATTTATTTTTAGGATCGAAAAAATATGTTTTTACATGATCATATTACTTGCTCAGGCGTACGCCAAAACGGTTGTATCTATTATCAGAGACGGGATGATCTTTCAAAATGATCCCTAAACAGATACATTTTGACGTGTCAATATTTCCGAATTCCTTGTGTGACCGCGCCCCGCTCCCTGCTTTAGTTCACAACTTCCTGATGACTAAGGAGGCTTCGAAATTTGTCATGGTTTTGTTTTATTTCGTCACTGGATGCTGACGGCGTTTAAAATTAAAAAGAGTTGTTGTGTGGTCACGTGATTGGGCACACGCAGTGAAGACGTAGGAGGCCATGCGCGACCTCCCTCCAGTGAGAGGTCTAGTGATGTTGAAGATCCGGCGAGTTCCGGGGCTAGAGATGGCAAAAAGCATCGATGTTTTTAAAACATCAATATTTCTGTGCAGAAACATCGATATTTTAACATCGACGTTTTACTTTCCATCTTTTCTTCAGATCGATTTATTTGTCCAGAAACATCGATGTTTGAAAAAATTATCATGATGTAAATAAAATTTCCAGCATCTATTTTATTTGTGGGTTGCTAGCAATCAACTGTCCCTGTGGTCGATCCCTAGGCGTCACGAAACCGTTTGCGATTCGCAATCTTTCTTCAAGTTGTCAACTTTTTTGATTATTTTGTACATGGTAATATCGTTAGACTGCAATTTGAACCTTGACTATATAGAACATTGATCAGAAAATTAAGATGACAGTGGAATTTAAGGCAGACTATACTTTAAACTAATATTAACCTGTTATGTATCACATTAGAACCAGGTCATTTTACTTCGAAATGTTTCATCATATTTAAAACATCGATATTTCAAACATTGTTGTTTTTCTGAATGTTTTTATCTACATCGGAAACCTTTTGGTGATGTATCTAAGAATCGATGGTTTCCTAAATTTTGCTGTCACTAACCTAGGTCGCTCTTTATTATTTCAAGAATGTACCTTAACAAAATTCAGTCAAAACCATTGTGGGATTCCAGAATGAGGAATCTGTTGATCCAATGGAAGGAGCAGTTTCATTTTGGGACTTGTTCATAAAACGATAATGTTGCTAGTGACCTTAGTCGTCTGTAAAGCAACTAATAGTAAATTTAAAACAAAATGTAATCACACATGAGGAAATGAGGCGATGCGAAAGACAATGCAAAAGACAGATCTCTGTAATATACCTCACGACTTCTGTTGACATGTGAAACAATGCGAGTATTCTGTAGTCATTTTTTTTCCTAATGCTTTTCTTCAGCCGACTGCCGGTTACCTTTTCTGTCTTGATGGGACACATATTTGACCATACAATAGGGACCAAAACACGTGTGGATTCTCTGATATGGGGCTCAGTAGAACCTGAGATCCTCCGACACAATACATACGTAAGAGACAAGGGACAAACTACCATGCCATGGGTCTCGTAAGTTCGACTACCATACCATGGGACTCGAACTCACGACTCTTTGGACGAGCTGTGTCGGTATACACTCTTAGCCACATCAATCATCCAGGTCGGCATTTTGTAGGAATGAAAGTGATATATTTTTGGAGTTCATCACCGGGTCTCAAACCCGAGGACCTGCCGGTCGTACTCTGTGCAGTGAAATCTATTGATGCCCTGAGCCACCTAACCCCGTGCTTGAGTATTTGCGGCACGAGACGTTCCTTAACTAGGGAGTCCTTCTCCAAAGCTTAGTCAGCCACAACGTCAACATCCGAAAGCGAGAAACGAGAGGCTATTCACAACGGACGCGTCCGTGACCCGAAGTACAACCCACAAAAGACAAAGGCCGTTAATCGGCGTCCCTGGCTGACGCATTCCGCGCGGACCCGGTGACTGAGCGAGGGCTGGAGTGACGGGGTGTGGTGTGCTTGCAGGTGCCCGTGCAACGCGTCACCAAGTACCCGCTGCTGCTGGCTCGCCTGTACAAAGTGACGCCGGCCCACCTGCCAGGCCGGGAGCTGCTGCGGCAGGCGCAACACAAGATCGAGCTGCACCTGGAGCACATGAACTCGGTGAGTACCCAACACGCGCCCGCTGTACTGCTGATCAAAGGGGAGGAGATGAGTTTTGGTTTGGGACTGGTTTGTAAAACGATCATGGTCGCTAGTGACTTTAGTCGTCTATAAAGCAACTAATAGTATTTTTTTTGTTTAAAAAATGCTCTCATACTTCAGGAAATGATCATGAGAAAATGAGCAAAAAAAAAAAAAAATGCAATCATACATGAGGAAATGAGGCGATGCGTAAAACAACGAAAAAGACGGAAGATCTCCGTTTTATACCTCGCGACTTCTGTTGCACAGAATGAGACAGAATACGAGTACGAGAGACGTTCGGCGAAGGATGTGTGGCACACCAGGAAGCTTCCGGCTGTTCCTAAATTATAATAGGGAGTTTTATCGCGAAAAGTAGCGGAGGTATACACTAACGGACTGTTAAAGTCAGAACGTATTACCTTAAGCCTAAGGTTCGACCTTATCCCTTCTTAAATAGTGCTCGCCTGTGGGAGTATCTACTCGTGCTAGTTTTCTTGATACACGAGCACCCTCGTCCTCACCCAGCGCTGAATAGCACGGCACGTTGAGATACTTAGGTTCAACTCGGAACGGCACGTACCAGTTTACAATGCTGGCAACAACCACCTCGTACTTACAAAACAATCGTAGCATTTCTTGTGGCACGCTTTGGCGAGTTAGGATCATGCCAACAGTTAGTACGCTCTTTTCAGCCGTGTCGTAGCCAAACCCCTCCTCTCCACGCATGGGATATAGATGGAATATCAAGAAAACTTGCGCGATAGTACAGTCCCCTTACAAGGGGCAAAATGGCTGCCTAACAATAGGAAGGGTTGATTTTTTCCAAATCTGATAAACCGATTTCCGTATGTGAGGCAGTTGCAATTGTTCCTTACCAACGCTGGTAAGAATTAACGAGATATGTTGGAGAGGTGATAGGAAAGAAATTCTCGAAAAAGAAGTTCAGATAATATCTTCGGGATAGGTTATGTCTTTTGCTCATAACATACGCTGTTTTAAGATATTTTTTATATTTTCAAGAAAAGCCGATTGAAAATTCCAGACTGCATACTCATCACGGAGGGCCATGTTCTTGCAATATTGCTTTACTACTGAATGGAGTTGCGTAAAGCGATCTACAGAAATGATCAAATCATTTGACATATCAAGTGCAATGTTACACGTTCTTTGCACGTGCTGGTCACGTGAGGGATTGCTCGGTTGATCTCGTGGAATGGAGCTTCGTAAGAGCTGACGTAAGCAGAATCTCCACGTCACAATAGCTGTTGCAACCTGCGACAAGGGAAATTGTAGAGATAACCTTCTGAATCTGCGATTTGGATGAAATGTAACAGGATCAGAGAGTTCTGTGACCTCAATTTCTAAATGAGCCAGAAATCCTTCTCGCAGAAGATGACCCATGCTTGTGGTAAGGCCTTGTGGCGAAAAGCGACATAGCGAAGATAAATGATGAAGTAAAAAATGTTGAGTCGTTTTTTGTTAATTTTATAGTTATTTACAAAACATATTTAAGCTCAGAAACAATTGTTACATTTAAAATATTTTATGTAGTGTTTTGGAATACCTCTGATTGGCTCTGAAACAGACGTGTCAGATTTGCCACCTCAGTGAAAATGCAAAAGGAGAGGTGGGGTAATATGACTGACATCTCTAACGTATTAAATTGACTTTTTAAATTTGCTGGAAAGAAAAACGATATTTCTGAAAACGAAGAAATGATTATGTAATTGGCTCTGTATATTCGCTGATTACTGCGTTGTGAAAATAAATAAATGAATTCATTACTGTTTGGAAATATAGGTAGTAGTCATAATAAAGTGAACTTTAGAGGCTATTTCGAATGCTGTAAGGAATGTTTTAGGAAGGAAGAGTGCAAAATGACTCCAATGAATACGGCATATCGTTAAGATGTTACGCTTTACAATAATACTTTCTGTTTATTTCTTCTGGTTCGAATGACTTCACGCCTCTTTTACAATTTGATCAGATTCCACTAGCGTCAAATTTCGGTTGCAGTGCAAGTAGCTATTATAATAATAAAGAATTGATTATACAATGGTCTATTATAATAATAGAAACTTGGTATTACTGAAAAATATGTAATTCATACATATCAAGTGTTTGGTTTCCTTTCATAATATTTTAGAATGGGTGATCATGACAAAGAAAAATACTTTCATTTCCTTTATACAATATGGTATTGATGTATTCAGAACTACCATGAAATTAATATTCGAAACATTAGTAAACGATCATAATTTCTACATCACTCATTTGGCACTTAACATCTTTCAAGAGACCTGGACTATTCGACATGAACTCCTGTAACAAATCGATATGAATTCTACAATATGCATAAAAAGAACATTGAAGTAGAAAATAGCCACGTCTTAGGTATAGAGTATACTTTTAAAAATATGTGAAACTGTTGGCGTTTTGCAACTTTGAGAATTTTGTTGTGACAAATTCTACATCTTTGTGAAGAATATTCCTTTTTGAGGTCGCCTTGTGAAAGCTTAATTTAAAGATTCAAACCTTCACTAAACAGATTCACTAAGAATATTCGTGTGCCTTTGTAGCTTATTATGCACGTTTTGTGCATTATGAACGTAAATTCCAAATTGCCAGCGTCGCTCCGCCAAGCTCTCTAAATTCGCACGTATCACAGTTCTCTGAAACCGTACATCCTTGAGACAGATCTGACTCGTCGGAAAGCGAGTGGAACTCGCGAGGAGGGGAGGGGAGGGGTCGTGACGTCATGGAGATGTCGCGGCGGGCCGCCGCGCCGGTCGGACGGCAGGCAGCTGTTTACCGGAAAAGGCACGTCGCGTCGCTCGTGTGTGGTACGCGCGTCCGGAGATTCCAAAGCCGCAAAGCCAAGCGGGCGAATCGCCCGACTGCATCCCGCGTTCAGTTTTCCCTCGCCCTCGCTTCCAAGATAATCCGATTTGTTTTCGTTACATGAGAAGGCATAGCTCGACTGCATCTCGCGGTCAGTTTCCAATTGCCCTCGTTTCCCAGCTAATCCGCCTTTTTTCGTTACATGAGAAGGCATAGCCCGACTACATCCCGGAGTCAGTTTCCCCTCAGCCTGGCCTCCCAGATAATTCTTTGTTTTCGTTACTTGTGAAGGCATAGCCCGACTGCATCCCGTGGTCAGTTTCCAATCGCCCTCGCTTCCCAGCTAACTCCCTTTCAGTTTTCGTTACCTGAGAAAGCATAGCCCGACTGCATCCCGTGGTCAGATGCCAATCGCCCTCTCTTCCCAGCTAACTCCCTTCAGTTTTCGTTACCTGAGAAGGCATAGCCCGAATGCATCCCGCGGTCAGTTTCAAATCGCACTAGCTTCCCAACCAATCAACTTCATTTTCGTTACCTGAGATAGCATAACCCGAGTGCATCCGTTTTCATTCGTCCGGTAGTAAAATTTCAGTATTAACGTTTGCATTCTCGAATCGAAGTAGATGTTCTCAGAATGACAGAATCTTCGGAATTGCGTATGTTAAGTCATCGAGGTAAGAAGCAGCTTGCGTATGGTGGTTTCAATTTTTATTTCCACAAACTTTTAAGTGTGGCTTTCAACATTGGCAATGCTCTGAAAGGACATACCAATGTTTCTTGAAATCAGATAGAAGAGGAAAAGTTGTAATCTATAAATGTACACAGACCACCGGGGACTCACGGAGGAAAACAGAACGGGATAGTCAGGCAATGCCTTTTTGAGGTGGCTAAACGGCTCAGGAAAAGTTGACCGCGGAATGCAGTCGGTATACGTCCGGAGTCGGGCTACGCCGTTTTGGGGAGGTAGGTAAACGGCTTAGGAAAACCTCATCGCGAGGTGCAGTCGGTATACGGAGGCGGGGTATGACTTTCTGGGGAGGTCGGTAAACGACTTAAGAAACGCTGACCGCGGGATGCAGTCGGTATACACTAAGTTCACATTTCTCCTTCCGCCATTTTGCCTCGGGGTAGGGGGGAGGGGGGGCTACACTCACGCGAACCCTTCCAATGAAGCTTTGCGCACTTTTTCGGCTTGGTGTGAAGTCAAAGCAATACAGTGTGAACCTCATACATTGACTTCGGCAAATGTTTTCGAAACTTTCGAAATAGAAATGCTGTTTGCCCAAAGTTGTTGTTGATGAGGAGCGAAATATATACTTGGAGAAGACACAAGCAAACGACGCTCACTTCCCACCTTCCTTTCTTGCAAGGAGAGGAGAAGAAGGAGACAGAAGGATGAGAAGAAAGGGAAGAAGAGAAAAGAAGTGGAAGTAGAAGAGGCGAAGAAAATTGCAATTGAATATTGATATTTATGTTTCTTCGTTTACGAATAAAGCGATTTTGTATCCTCCGTATTGTTTACCAAACTTGTTTACCAAACCAAAACCGTTACTAAATCGAATACACTAATCAGCCATTTTACCCACTCTGAACGCGCGAGTAAACAGCATATTAAGGCGATCGGATAAGATAAACATCGATGTTTTGGGGGCGACGTTATCATTTCGAATATGGGTGATTTCTTGGGAATGTGGCATCCCTAGGGTTGGGGTGTGTGTGTGTGGGGGGGGGAGGGGGGCAGCGCAGCTGACAGCGCACTGTCGCAGGAGGCGAAGGACGTGACCACGACCAAGCTGTGGCGGCGAATATCCATCATCAACCTGCGACGCCACAGCGGCGAGACGGACATGCTGGTCATCAAGCTGCGCAAGGTGAGTGGCGCTTTCTCCCCGCCGATACCGCATCCGCGCTCCCCGGCTCTCTCCGGCCACTTTGGCCTCTTCTCTTGGACTTCCCCTTGGCCTGCTTTGGTTTGCTATTTTTGCCCTCGTCTCTTGCTGTCTTGTACGATAGCATGTTTCCGGTAAGTTGGTTGTCGGAGCTCTGAAATTCTGAAATGGTTACACGAGTTTCGAGAGAAAACTAGGAGCAACTAATGAAATTCACACTTGAAATATGAACTTATTGACATAGCCTTAGTTAAGTTAAGAAAAGCAAATTTTAAATTCTGAAATCATTACACGAGTTTCGAGAGAAAACTAGGAGCAACTAATCAAATTCACACTTCAAATATGAATTTATTGACATTGCCTGTCGTAAAGCTAAGAAAAACAAATTTTAAATTCTGAAATCATTACACTAGTTTCGAGAGAAAACTAGGCGCAACTAATCAAATTCACACTTCAAATATGAACTTATTGACATGGGCTATCGTAAAATCAAGAAAAGCAAATTTTAAAATACTCGAATTTTATACTATCAAGTTTACCTACAGAAATTCACTTATGTAGACGACAAGTAAAAATTCCGTAATCCACGGAATTGAACAACGTTCTGCTAGTTTTTAATATGTTCTACACATTCCTGCTTTCAGATTTCGTCAAAACACATTTTAACAACATTAAATTAAATGCGTTTTTGAAGAAATCAGAAAGCAGGAATGTGTAGAACGTATTAAAAATTACACAATTTCATATCAAAATCAGTTTTTTCCAGTAGTGAACATGTTTTGATTAGTTGCTCCAAACAAAGAAATATAATATTTCAAGTTATGTTTAAGAATGATTTTTTTTCTATACCTATCAGAATTTCGCTAGCTAGTCTCGCACTCACTTTCACTAACTACTCTACTCCACTTGCGCATAAACCTTAATGATGTGAAATATTTTCGATATAACAGTGCGTGGTATAAGTGCATTTTATGATTTGTCCAAAGGCATTCCATTTTAGCAGCTTTGTTTGTTCAAAGTGAAATTATGTTCAACACATGTACACGGGGTAGCCTGACCTGAAATTTCTTCCATTTTCCATGATTCTACTTTCTGCTTGCTCAATCGGGTAATTATAGCGCAAATAATCATTGAAATATCGATATCAATCTGATGAAATGCCTGTTTAGAAAAGAGTTCCAAATATAACATTCATTGCAAATAGAATATTTATCAGTTACTAACCAATATTAAGAAAAAGGTTTTTACTTTTTAAAAACTTGTCATCCTCAGTAATTTTATTTATTCAATAACGACACGTCATTATTTTGTTCAAGTCTGTGAATTCCATATCGTCGACGCTTTTTCATTTCTTTTTCATTCATATTGAAAATGCCGATAGACCTACTGTTGCTATGGGTCGCAGAGAACCAGATAGATTTGAACCAGGAAATACAGTAGTCACAGAGAAAAAAAGCAACATATGAAACAAATTAATCGTAGGAAACTGTTGCGTGAAATTTGAACATAAGTTGACCCTAGGCTAAGATTCGGAATAAGCCACCTACCCATCTGTTTTTCCAAACGGGGCACAACACTAAGTCATTAAGAGAACGGTAAGCAGAATTGCGAAATCGCGATCAAGGAAGCTAGGAAAAAACGGCACTGGGGACCTGAGAAAAAATCACGAGGCGTATGTGACCAACCTCTTTGTTTTCTTAAGAACAAAATTTTATCTTGAAAGAGTATGAAGAATTGCAATAACTTGAAACAGAATGTGAGGTGAAACTTAAAAAGTAACCTCTAAACTGACACGTATAAGTATTTTGGTTAAATTTTTGAGTTTCATAATGACCTTAAACTGCACAACAGGTATAAAGATAAAATTATATTCTGAAAATTTATACAATAAATAAGATAAAGCAGAGAGAGGAGACTACTTTGGAGAATGTAAAAGATCCTTTGAGTAACATGGTGTAAATCGTGGAAAGGAATTCTCTATTTTTCCAAGTAGAAAAGAAGTACAGTAAACCCTCACAAACACGAATTTAAAGCGACCGAAATTATCAGAGTTCGTGTTATAAAAAGTCGTGTTATCAGAGTATTATAAATGTCGGTATTACTGTAGTCTTGCCAGGATCGAAATTTTGTTCGTGTTACGGCGAAATTCGCGTGAAGCGACTTCGTGCTAACGAGAGTGTTCAGAATACGCATACCTAACCTCTTACGGACGCGAGTCGATGCCCTCGGCGAGTGTGATTGCTGATATCGCCGCGTCCTAGTGGCGTTCCAAGACGTCGCCACCGCAAGGACGGGCGATTCAACGTCCTCTCCCCCACCCCCGCCCCGCTGGCTCTCACGCCGAAGGCTGGCGGCGGCGGCGGTGGGGGCGGAGGCGAAAGTGGGTTAGGCGCGCGCGTCGCTGAGCGCTCTCGTTGCCTCGTCCGTAGATGGCGCTCGACGTTCTGGACTGGAGCCACGACGAGGTGCACTTCTCGATGGAGGGCAAGCTTTTCTACACCAACCCCACGGACAACAACTGGCGCCGCAGCCGCACCGTCAAACTCAACCCGGTCAACGCGCTGCTCATCAGCAAGGGCAAGGTGAGCACCGGCCACAGGTTGTTACTCTAGGAGCTACTTTAAGCGGCGGTCATAGTGAAGTCGAAGCTCTTTTGAACGACGTTCAGTTCAGTCGGACGTGTTTGGCCAATATGACGGATTACTTCAAACATGTGTGTGTGTGTGTGTGTGTGTGTGTGTGTGTGTGTGTGTGTGTCCGACTAAAAGCTACGCTCACAGAGCAGCCGAAATATCGGTCGCTATCGAACCACTGCCAGCGAAATAGTCTCACTTATTTCATTCGAAAATAACCCGAATGTTGTACATGGAAATCATCCCATAGTTTCGTAGTTCATGGCGTGAAAAATTTGCGAGTCGCAGACCATCCACATGTAATGCAATTAAGACCATCCACGTGTGATACTGATAGTCTTTGTTCGAGTACAGATGGCCTTAACTCTGTAGTTGATTTCGGGTGAATGGAACCTACAAAATCAAACAAAACAGTCCGACAGCCGATGTTTCCGGACTTCGTCAGAAGACGCCGTTCGGATTAAAATATGCATATTTCCAATTACTAGCGCGTGTTTGAACGAATCGGGCATATCGGTCGCAAACGTCCGACGTCGGCAGACCGAAATTTCGGCCGAAATCGGCTTTACTGTGACAGCCGCCGAAAGTCGGTTTTGTTTTTGTCCGTCCGTTGTCGGCCGACCGAAATTGCGGCTAAACTCGGCTCGACTGTAACCGCCATCGGCGGCAAACACAGTGAAGCCCATTTTGACTCAAATTTTCGTCGGCCAACGTCGAACATGTTCATTCAAAGAGACGGATTCATTCAAACACACGCGGGTGAATCGAAATGATCTTAGTGAACCCGAATGACCTTTTGCGACGGAGTCCGAAAAATATCGGCTGTCCGACTGAGATCGGTATCGTTTGCTTTTGTCCGTCCGTCGTCGGCCGATCGGAATTTCGGCCAAAATCTGCTCGACTCTGACCGCCATGTAAAGCAGGGCAGCAAATGCATGCCATGCCAGGGACACGCGTTTGACAGATCGGGAAACAAATGCATGCCGTGTGGAGCGACGGCATTTGCAAGAGATGGTGATGAAAACCGTTTACTAATGAGCTACCTAAACGAACGCATGGAATTGAGTGTGTGGACATAACCCACCGACAGTATGTTGTCAGCAGTAGCCAAGCACTAGCTGTCAAGAAGGTGCCTTCTTATACAAAACTCTCTATACCGCTACGAGACAATAGGTAATGATTGTTAATATTCTACCAATTGGCAGGGAAAGCTACGCATGTCAGATATTCTGCTCATTCAGCACCGTATTGTGAATTTTCTTTTTGACATTTTTTCTAATAAACATGGGCTACTTCGCAAACATATTTCTTGGTTAAAAATGTCACATTTTGAGATTTGTTCCTTTTCTTGTGCACCCGATAGAATACACACCGCCATGCCGTGTGTCTTCTACCAGTGGTCAGGTGTGTTAGAATATACAATTTCTTCATCGCCAGCATTGAAAAGAAATAGAATTAGGAAAGAGTCATATCGTAGGGAATATGAACTTCAGGCAAAAAAAAAAAAAAAAATAGCGACAACTTTCTGTATCTTCAAACGTTATCGCCGGACAAATATTCGTCATGTTGTCGGTGCACAAGAAAAAGGAACACATCTCAAAATTTGGGATCTTTACTGGAATAAATGTTAAAAAGAAAATTCACAAGATTACGGCATTAAAAAATTGGAAACACACTTCGATATATTCAAGTCAAGCTTGTCTGAAACTATCCTTGCTTTTCCGTATATAATGGTGCGTGTATTATGACAGTTAAATTAATTCGTTTGATTCTGTTGTAGTAAGTCTTGACTATCGAAATAATGAAGGCATGCATCGCAGTCACTTCATTTGGACTTTTTCAAGTGACAGCTGAAGTATTAGTACAGCAGAAATTGCAAAATTATTACGTAACCATTCCCAATAATGTGAGAAAACATGCGCTCCTCTAGTTTTCTTCTTTTTATCTACCAAATTGTTCCACAATTAATATTTTGGCATAACAGGCGGTGGAAATTATGCGTTAGTCAGACTCAGTGTTAATTCCATAGACCGAAATTTGAAAGCTTACCCTCCAAATTGGGAATACCGTAGGGTCAACGAAACCCTGGAATTAGTGATAAGAATTCATTTCTTCCCTCGGTTCGTGTTGTCGTTTTCCATGTCCACGCATTAGCGAATCGATTCCTTCACGTAGAGCACGATGAAGGGTTAGAACCGATATGGCAATTATAGAAAAGTTAGCCAATTGACGATGTAGTGGGGATGGCGTGAGCCAACATAATTTTCACCACTTGACACATCGTCACTTTCTCCTGGTCGTTCTCCGAAGTGACGCAAGGTCGACGCACCAGGAAGCCTTGACGTAGGTGGCCAGTTTTCGTCGAAGAATGACGCGCAGGCGACAAACGGGACTATGACGATTGCAGGAACGAGTTGTTCCGTCCAATCGTCGACCAGTTACAAGACTAGACGCTTAAGAGGCGTTAAGTGTTACGACAGTGGCCCAATTTAGGAAACGTTCTTTGATTCCTGATGTTTGGAAACAAATTTAGAGTGTTTTTAGATTTCGTATATGTTGGCCGACGTGTCTGGGCCGACAGATCTGTTTTTCTCCATCTCTAACACCAGGGAGAAAAACAACACCGTCTTCCATGATTAAAATTATTATTATAAGCTGCAGTGGAAAACTGTGATGATACTCAAAGCCCAAAACCTCCCAAAACTTAGGATTTTGTAGTCCCCCGCCGTAGTGATCTATTCTAAAATAAATTGTATTTTTATTTTTTCAATTAAAGAGCAATTTAAATATTTAATAAATAATAATTTAATACCCTTTCACATATTTAATCCCATTTCCAAAACGTACTTTTTCTTTTGTGTATTGGAAGACATATTTCATAAATTATCAACAATTAAGGAAATTAAAATGAATGTCTATTAATTCGGATTTATAACATGCTAGTCTATTAATTCGGAAGAACCCCAAAGGTGTTCTTGTACGAGTAGTAAACATTTCAATCAGTATTCTTGTTTTATCATAAATATTCATATATAAGTACTATTGTACATAATGTATAAAAAGTTAAATTATCATGTGGTAAATCAATTTCGAGATCTTATCGTATATACACGTTTTGGGGGCCCTAGCATGCGTGATGTATGCGTGATGTGGTAAGCTAACGCTGTGTGGTTGGTGTTGCAGCCGCTGGAGGAGCTGGCGGCGGAGCCGCCCGAGGAGCCGCTGATGTTCGCACGACGCGGCGGCGCGCGCGAGGCCTCGCTGCTGCTAGTCAAGGAGAAGGGCGGCCGCTACTCACTGCTCAGGGTCAGTCCTCAACCCTCCTCTTTGTTACTACGTTCGCTTGTATTGGTGCCCAACGTGGCACCCAATTATTGGAACCCAACGTGGCACTCAATTATTGGAGCCCAACGTGGCACCCAATTATTGGAGCCCAACGTGGCACCCAATTATTGGAGCCCAACGTGGCACTCAATTATTGGTACCCATCGTGGCACTCAATTATTGGAGCCCAACGTGGCATCCAATTATTGGAGCCCAACGTGGAATAATTCTCCGTGAAGTTAGTCGGTCATCGTCAGTCGTAGTGAATCATTCATAATATCCAGTGGTTCGGCGCCGTTAGATTCCTGGGGTCCCCAGACGGTCACCCTTCCAGGAACCCGCGGTGTCACGAGTTGCTTATCCTCCACGACTTCGTGGAGCGTAATTAAGCAATTCGAATTCCGACGTCCCCTTATTTGCTTTGCTTGGCACTCGATGGCCTCCCATCGTCAAAACGCTCCACTGATTGCTAACCAATTGATGTAAATTGTTGATTTAAATCGGAATGTAAATCAGGTATATGAATCAATACTTTAAATAGGGATTTTAAAAATCGATTTAGAACATTACTTTTAATCATGATTTAAAAAGTATAATGTTTTTTTAAATCACGGATTTTTATCAAATGCAGATTTCAACAGCCAATTTAAGTAAAATGAATTTTTAGCAGCCATTTTAAATAATACTTTTTTGCCTCATTTCATCAAAAATTTGTCGATTTGTATCTTTTTTATGGCATGTCATAATTTAAACAATAAAGAAAACCAACTATTTAATTCATTGATTAATGCACGGGCACCGGCAAGATATGTAAGTTAGCAGTACATATTTACTTAAATTCTTTACTAAATGGGGTGTCGGATTCACAGCAGAATATTTAAATTATAAACTTGTGTAAAATTATTTATTTCTTAAAGTAAGATTATAACTTTTTACGGATATCAATATAAATACATAAAATTGAAGTGTTCTATTATTTCAAATTAAAATTGATGTGCTATTGTTTCCTTAATAACTACTAAGTAATTTTAAAACTTATGAACAAAAGTATTAAAACTTGCATACAATTCTATTTAAATTAAAAAATGCTTTAAATTACAAATTCTTCATTTCAATTCACATTTTTTTCACTCTTGTGATTGCCAACACAATGCCAAACCTCCTAATTCAATATTTTTGTACATGCTGCAAAATGATATGTGTTCTATCAATTATGAAGTCTTAATGGGAATGTGTTTCTGTAGGACCCATTGGCCCTGGACAAGTGCATTGTTTGCTGCGATTTTGCCGAAGGCGATGAGTTCTTTGAACTGCAAGAACTTACATCCAAAGAAACTTACATATTCAAGGTACGTGAAATATGTTTTTGTAAATAGTTTTACGACTTGTAAATCTAAATAGACTGTTATAAACGTGAATGTGTGTACGTATATGTAGATACATAATGCGATGATTATAATACAAATGGTTTAATTTACTTTGTACTTCAAAGAGAGTATGAAAAATATTTTCTCTTGTATCTTCTCTTTTCCCTCCTTTGATTTTCAGTCATCTTATTTATCTCAGTACTTTTGCCCCCTCTTCATTTTCTTATTTCTTCTTTTTCACCTTCTCCTCAGGGAGAAATCTTTTTCATTAATTGTTCACTCTTTGAAGAAGATGGCAATGATGAAGGGGGAGTAGAGGTGAAGAATGGATGGATGATTGATGGATGGATGAATGATTGATGGATGGTTGGATGGATGCTTGATGGATGGTTGGATGGATGATTGATGGATGGTTGGATGGATGATTGATGGATGGTTGGATGGATGATTGATGGATGGATGGATGATTGATGGATGGATGAATGACTGATGGATGGTTGGTGGATGGATGATTGATGGATGGTTGATGGATGGATGGATGATGGATGGCTGATGGACGGGTGATGGATGGATAAGGAGTGGATGGATGATTAATGGATGATGACTACTCCCTGTGGCCAACATAACTGAGAGTTGTTTAACGACCGGTGGTGTGTTGTGGTGTTGCAGGGCGAGGACAGCGAGCGGACGCGCGCGTGGTATCGCATGCTACAGTTCCAGTCGCAAGGGCTGGGCGCATGGCGACGCCGCCGCAACGCCCTCGCCAACATCATGATCAACGGCATGCAGACGCGCAGCTAGCGCCCCTGGCGGCAGCGGCCCGCAGCCGCCCGCGCCCACCTCGCCCTCGCCCACGCCCTCCGCGCCTGAAGGTGCCCACTGGCTCACGACCACTGCTCTCCGACTCGGGGGAGGAGGAGGAAGTACTCGCACGACTTTTCGGGTATCTGATATCGATCGCGTTTGCCTTGAATCCCTTCACACATGGTTGGTTTAGCAACTGTGATAAGACGGTTATTGCTGACTCAGAATGTTTGCAGAACGGGAACAGAGTGAGTTACAATGAAATTGATTTGACCGTTGGTGACTGAACCAAAGTCAAATACCTTATGGGTATTTTAGGGGATGCTCTTTCTTCGGAAAGCTCTTTGCTTGAAAAGAAGCTCTTCCATTCTCTGTGTTGCTAGGATGTTGTTGAATGCTTCTTTATCACATACTACTGTACCAAAGGTGGGGAAATATGATCTGGAGACTCTTTTTGATGAGCGCCTTTCCTTGACTCTATGGAGGGTTGAATTGACTCATGTTTGCGGAGTGCTGACTGAAAGATAGTCGTGAGATGACGAAGAGACTGTGGAACCAAATCAAAGCACGTCAGGCAGGTGTGTCAGAACTGCAGAACGAATATCTTATGTATAGTGCGTGTAAAAAAGGTCGTCTATGGTATATATTAAGAAATAAGACAATAAGTTTTGTGTATTTATAATTGTAAATAGATGTAAGAGAAGAACCTGATTACTATGTTCCATTTTCGTGTGGTTTGAAAATAAACGTGGAAACAATCCATGCTTCTTATTTAAACCCCAGAACAATCCTATCGGCATCCAATGGTCCTTTCCTTAAATTAATTGAGTTTCTGTAGCCCAGTAATTTAAGTACTGATACTTCAAAAATTTATTGTAGAGCTTAAATGTGGTGGCGTTGTCTTTTCATAATTCTGAATAACCTAAATATTAAAATCGTCATCCGAAATACTTGAAGATTTCTACTGACCACATCTGCGTCATTGTTCTCTTCGTATAGTACGAAAGGTGAAACCGACGTCTCTTAACAAGTAATAGAAATAATCATCTAGATTCGTTTCTAAATAAAAATTTCCCCCCAAAGTTTTTAAAATAAACTAGTGAATATTTCTACTATAGAACATATTTATAAATACAGTAAAACCTCGCTAACCAGAACCCCGCAAATCCGAAATTTCGGATAATCGAATGAAATTCGGAATGGAAAAAATAAAGATAATAAATAAAATGCTTATTTGCCGGTCAGATAGCCGAGGTCGCTTGCTTTTGGACCAAAAGATCGCGGGTTTGAGTCCCGCCTCGAGAATGGGTGTATTTGTGTATGTCAGTATGAAGGTGTCGTCCTTTACCCCTCATTATCATCATTTCATCTTCCATACCCCCAGAGCTAACATCCCTGGGGAATAAAAATCGGACTGAGCTTAATGCTGTTCCCCAATTAAAGTTACATGCACCTGCCTCTGCGATAATGATACTGAGCCACAGTAAATGCAGGATGCATGCATGCATGGTCCTAGTCGGTCGCTTCCCAAGCAAAAATTTGCTTTTTTATAGTGTAAAGAATAGATTTTATAATTACTGTAGAACTGAATCACTAATTATTGAAACACAAGTTGTGAAAATGAAACGCACTGGTATCACATGTTTATATAGCAATCATTTTCTAACCCTGCAACAAATAGGATAGTGTGACGTCATGGATACTCACAGCGACCACAGACACAGAGCTTTCGTATAACAATATATTTATTAACAAAGAAAACAAAACAAATATATACACTTAATAATCTACTTACACCCTAGCTCTGATAGAACTACTATCCCCTGATCGCGGGAGCGATCCAAACCCGATTGAAGATGGTTTTGATTGTGGCATTCGCCACTCCTACTTTTGAAGCGCGCACAAAGCCTAGCTTCCGTGACCGGATGTCACGCTGGGACACAAAGTCCGTTCTGGCGCACCAACGGCTGGTTTGCCTCGATCGCAGGAGTGATCTTATCCGATTGAGAATCGGCGTGAATCGTGGCACTCAACCACTCTTCACCTCGGAGCACGCACACAGCATCGCTCCCCCGTGACCGCAGTCACCCAAGGACCTAAAGTACGCAGGCTTCGTCAACTAGTGACTCCAGCCTCGCGAGCCTGGCTCGCATATGCACCGTCTTGGCGCCAAGTTTTGTGCACACGGACGAGGTTCTTCCACCGTCTCCAGAACCCACCCACTGGCTCTGTACACTCTGTTATATAGGCGAGGCTCACGTGACCTACTACGTCACGCCACCCCCTCGCTTGTTATAACAGTGAAAAGCTTCTATAAGCCGGAAACTCACAAAGCCTTGTGTCTCCCGTTTCCGCGTTCTTCCCTTTACGGAAAAACCCTACTTCCTGTGGCAAGGCTGATCCTCTGCCAGCGTCCCCAAATAGATGCCACGAGGCGCGCTGGCTAATACGTTGCAATAGTAATTAATTTTTTGTACTTGATCAGTGTGCTTACACTTACATGCACTACCACAAATGCCGGGAGACCAGTCGGGAGCTTAGAGCTTGCTCCAGTTGGGGTGGGGCCCTATTCGTGTGAGATACCTGATTGGAGATAAAATCCTACTAGCCGATATGAAGGTCGGCGCCGGACCTCGCCATCCAACGGGGGAAGATCACAGTCACAGCCCGCGCTAAAACATGCACTACACTTACGGGACCAATGATCGTAGCAGTTGACGTGCCCGGAATCACTAAACTATCAATTAATGAAAAAAAAAATTGCGCAGTATGCGTGTTAGTTTCTGGAAAACCATTTTAAGTGGTATTGTTCTATAACAATTTTGCTCCTGTAGTCTGTATTACTTATTTGTAATGAACGCAGAAATTGAATGGTAACTAAGCAAACCACCAGTCATTTGAGAAGAGCCTAAGGTTTTTTAGACACCCCCAAAACTCGGGAAATATCCCAAAACAATGAAACAGTTTCTATTTTGAATGGAAAATATTTGATTGTGTTATTAAGTCAATTCTTATTCTTTTCTCTTACCGGCTGAATTATGAAGCACAGATTGTCACTACTTAGGATGCAACGGATCTCACGCAAGAGCAAGGCTCCAAGAGAGTGGTCGCTTACAATTAAAGCCACTTTTTCGTAATCAGAGTCCGACAATTAGAGTATTTTCTGTTGTAGAATTGCCAATATATGCCGATTACAATGCTTTCTTTGTACTACGTACGTAGTAAGTCGAGAAAGTAAAAATGCCGATGTCACGGCCGTGCCATGCGGATTAAAAGTAACAAATTAGAGGACTCTTTACATTGGTAAAATTTTAGCTGGTATCACTAAAACACTTTGTGCCCTAAACTTTGGTAAAGAGCTGCAGTCTGGCGCCGGTGTTTCGGCTAATGGCAGTTGGCACTTTGAGATGCAAGCAGGGATGCCCAGAGAAAACCAGGGACCTAAGACAGTTAGTCCAAGGGGGCCCCTTATTTCAAACATAAAATTTCTCTCCTTCTCCAATTCTTTAGCGGAAATCGTTTCTCGGTGAATTAGAAAGAACGTATAGCGTTCAATTTGGATTAGAGATAAATATATTTTTCATTAATTTTGAATGAAAAAAAAAATTGGGGCGCCAATGAAGTTGGGGCCTTGGGCAAGTAGCCCCACTTACCCCCTCCTCTTCTGGACGCTCGTGGGTGCAAGGGGAGTGTGGCGCAAATGTATTAATCTCCAGCAGTCGGCGCGCCTGATTTTTCATGACATGGTCGGCGCGCCTGTGTTTTCATGACATGAACCTCCCGTAAGTTGAAAAATATGTGAAGTACTGGTTTAAATCGAGCTTTGAAAGGCGAAAGCTTTGAATTATGTTCCAGTCACTCTCGATTGCACTCCTTACTAATTCAATCTGAGATCTTTTAGGACTTTCTATCCAGTACCCCCAGAATATCGTTGGCTAATCAATGGTAGCTGTCACTAATCTTCTTTGAGACAATCTTAGTAATTAGGCTACAGTTATTAAAGTTAAATAAATGTAGTCAATGACTCCAAAACTGTAACAGGAAATAGATGTCTTTCAAGTTTGTCTACTCAGAAAGATAACATTAAAAATAAAGCTACCACACAAACAATAAAACATAAATATGGCTAACGTCGTTAGGGTATAAGATCGACCAAAACTGCCACTTGAGTTCGAGAACCACTACAAAAGCACTCTCTTGTGACAAGAGGACTTATGAGACCCCGACTCCTAGTAGTTCAAACGTTGCTCACTAGAGAGCCAGGCAATGCTTCGCCTTGCTCGCGCGTTCCATCTGGTGGCGGAACTCGGAACTTCCAGACCAAAGCGGGACTAAATTACGATTGCTGAAAGAAGTTCCATGTCGCGTATCTTGTCTCTTGGTCGCGTAGTACTTACGAAGTATAGAGAAAGTATTGCAATTCTTCGAATAAACGTCTTTTTTTTTGACAGAAAAAATCTTACTGCCGGGCCTTGATAACGAAAACGATAACGAAAACTGTATAAATATTGTTCCTACATGTAGTAAATTACTTCCGTCCTTGCAATTGCAATGCCGCAAAAAGTGGATTTTGATGGAAATACAGATTTTGAAGGACCCTGAAATGGTATACTAACTGTATTTTCAGAGGCATCTGTCTCTGCCCACGGCTGCGTCCATCCGCCTATGAACAAGAAAAGTGTTTAAACCATTTGCTCGACAAAATCCCTCCTGGTTCCCTGATATTGTAAAATAGCCTTGTTCTTACTTCTATGTGTAATAAACATTACTTTCTCTAACACACGACACAGTCAGAATTCAATTTGTGTTTCTTTGCAACACCAACAAGTGTTTTTGCTCTCTCATATACAAGTGTATACACGTAGTATAGATAAAGTAATATAAAGTCGTGGAAAATCGATTTCGAAATTACAATGAAAATCTCGTTTTCTGGACCTTTTATGCTGAAAAGGTGTTGTTTTAAACGTTCGTCTGTCGGGCAACGAGTTTTTTTATTTTAATTTTTCGGTCAACTTAACACATTTTTATCTGATTAAAAATATGAAAAATAATAAAATATTTTTTTACTATCAAAAAACATTTTTTACATATTTTCTACGCCAAATTTTAACGCAAAAAGTTGAAAATAATAACAAGAAATAATAATTATTGCGTCTTAAAACTCTAAAACAGGCTCCAAAAAATCTAAAAAATTCCTCTCAAAACACAATTTGTTGTTATTTTTTTCAGATTTTTTCAACTGCTGAGCTCCAGTTAAGAAAACTAGTGTTGCTAGAGAGTGGCACAGACTTTTCCGTAATTGTTTTCTATTTCCTTTGGTCTCCGCTAGCTACACGGACTCGCCACATACTCTTGCCAGATGCCATCTATCGCCGCTCAAAGTACATTTTTTGAAATTTTCTACATTTTTCGTTTTCCTAATAGTAGATCGGAAATATTTTAAAATATTAAAAAACAGTAAAACCTCATCTTAAAGGGCAATTTTATTTGAAAAATTTGGAGCCGTTTTTACAAAAACTGGCGTTTAAGCACTACTGTACATTCGAAATTTGAAGCTCTTTTTCACAGAAAATGTTTGAGTTTTCGTACAACTTCATTAGAAGTCACTTGAAACACTTTAACTCACAAATACAACAGTGTTTACAAATTTCTAGAAATGTGAATATCAATGGCAATTAATTAAAAAAATTACTTTTATATAATTTTATCTCTTACCTTTTTACCTTCGCGAATGCCATTTCGTTCCAAAACATTGAAC